CCACTCACCAATAACCTACATTATGCACATGACACAACCTTGCTTGCTGAAAGTGAGGAGGACTTGAAGCACTTGTTGCAGAAGATCAAGGAATGCAGCATTCAGTATGGATTGCATCTCTATATTAAGAAAACAAAGATTCTTAGAACTGAACCAATACACAGTGTCATGATGGATGGAGAAGAGATTGAAACTATCAACAGCTTCATCTTGCTTGGATCCACAATTAACATCCTTGGTACCAGCAGTCAGGAAATGGAGAGATATGTTGCAATGGGAAAATCTACAGTCAGGGATCTTTCCACATTATTAAGGAGTAGTGATGTCATTTTGAGGACTAAGGTGTGTCTGCTTCTGGCCATAGTCTTTCTGACTACTTGCTATGCATCTGAGAGCTAGAGAGTGAATAAGGATGACAGAGAAAGAATTGATGTCTTTGGACTGTGGTATTGGAGAAGAGCACAGAATATCCATGGATGGCCAAAAGAATGAACAAATATATCTTGGAGAGGGTGCAGTCGGAGTGCTCTTTGGGGGCGGGAATTATAAGGCTTTGCCTCACATACTTTGGAAATATTGCTAGGAATTTCTACTACTTGGAGAGAGACATGATGTTGGGAAGGGTGGAGGGATGGCGAAGGAGAGGAAGACCTTCAACCAGATGGACTGACACGGTGACTGCTGCGATGGGTTCTTGTGTGTTAGGAAGTATGAGGATGGTGCAGGACAGGACTATGTTTAGATCTTCTGTTTATAGGATTGCTGTGAGTCATACTCGATTTGATAGTCCCTTAAAACAACAATAGCAAAGAGGTAAAAAAAGAAACGTTTCACAATTGTTAGAGTAATAGGAAGATAAGGTGAAAAGAAAGAGTCCTTTAGACTCATATAATAGAGGTAGAATTTCTCATAAACAGATTCTCAGATATGAGCTTTGAGCTAAATAAATTCTAGACCTCTGATGGCCTAGTGATATGGACCTGTGCTGTCAACTCAAAGACACATGGTTCGAATCCACCAGCTGCTCTGGGAGAGAAAGGTGCATAGTCTTAACCTCAGAAACCTGTTGAAGGCTCATCTTTGAGTCACTTCTGACTCAATGGCTTGTAACGGCAATATATCCTACGTAATTGTTTTCAAATGCAATAATCATACTTAAAAATCTTATTTGTAAAAATAAAGTGAAATATGGTACTAATATTTGTTTGATCACTGCACTGGAAGCCCTTATCTTGCAATACCTAGTAACAGGATTCTTGATCATCCTTTGTCATTAAAAGGGTACTTGGCTATGGTTCTCATTTTTAATGTTGTTTGTGCTCTAAAACCTAGTTGATACCAGTTCACAGGTAGCCAGATGATAAAAGCAGGAAATTAAAGCTAGATGATATGCTGTTGTTGTTACATGCCGTTGAGTCACTTGTGACTCATAGCGACTCTTATGTACAGCAGCTCTGAACCCTGCTCTATCCTCTGCCAACCTTATTGTCTCTGACACACCTACTCCCATTACCCCACTTACTGAATTAATCCATCTCATCTTCCTCTCTTGCACTATTCCTCCATCCTCCCAAGCATGATGTTCCTCTCTAAGGACTGGTCCCACCTTGCAACATGCCCAAAATATGTCAGATGTACCCTCAAAATCCTTATTTCCAAGGAGCAGCCTGGTTTAACCCTCTCCAGGATAAACCTGTTTGCTCTCCTGGCAATCCTTGGTATATTCAGTACTCTTCTCCAGCATCACAACGCAAAGGCATTTATTTTTCTGACATCCTTAGTCATTGTCCATATTTCTGATGCATACCAAGTAATTGCAAAGACCATGGCCTGAATCAGGTGGACCTTATTCTCAAGACTGACATTGTTGCTCTTCAGTACTCTGGAGAGGTCCCTGACTTTCCCAGTGCATTTCATCTTTTGATTTCCTGGCTGCTGGTACCAAGAGTGTTGATTGTAGAGCCAGGAAAACAAACTGTTAACAATCTCAATCTCTTCACGATCTATCATAATGCTGCCCATTGGCCCAGTGATGAGAATATTTATTTTGTTGATGTTGAGCTTTAGTCCATATTTAAGGCTACAGTCTTTTCCCTTCTGCAGCAAGCACTTCAGGTCCTCCTCAGTTTTAGCAAGCAGGGTTGTGTCATCTGTATAATGCAAGTTATTGATGAGTCTTCCTCCAATTCTGATGCCACATTCCTCTTCATAGAGCCCAGCCTCCCAGATAATCTGTTCTGCATAGATTGAAAAGGTATGGTGATAGGTCATATCCCTGGCATACATCCTTCCCAATTGTAAATCATACAGAGTTTCCTTGCTCTGTTCTGTCAGCTACCTCCTGGTCCAAGTATAGATTTTACATAAGCACAGTCAAGTGTTCTTGGATTCCCATTCTTCTCAGAGTTAGTCACAGTTTGTTGTGATCCACACAGTCTAATGCTTTTGCAAAAATCAATGAAACTCAGATAGACATTCCTCTGGTACTCTCTGCTTTCAGCCAAAATCTGTCTAACATTAGCTCTAATATCCCTAGTCCCATTGCCTCTTCTAAACCCAGCCTGCGTATCTGGCAGTTCTCTGTTGATGTGTTGTTCCAGTCAGTCGTTTTTGAATAATTTTCAGCAGAATCTTGCTTGCATGTGATAATGTTCAGTGATATCCATACTCTGTCAAGTCGACTTTCTTTGCAATGGGAAATAATATGCATCTCTTCCAGTAAATTGGCCAGGTGGTTGCCCTCTAGATCTATTGATATTAAAACTATTAATTTGATGATTCTTTGTTATCAATATTATAAATAAATAATTTATTATTTCACTATCCATTAAAAGCATTAGAATTGATTACACATTACAAATAAAATTTCAATCGATTATTCTTTTTGTCAGCTTTATAAATTTGCTCTGTATGAATTTTAAAATGAATATGTTTTGCAGCTATCATTTGAGCAGAGAAGTTGGTCATCTTCCTGAACAGAATTACTAGTTTTAAAAGATTGCAAAAAATGCTGTTTTATGTTTTTTTGGGTTTTTTAAATTATTTTTTTATTATTATTTTGTGTATGTGTACCGTCAAATCAGATCTGACTGGTACAGGAGAAGATTGTCCCTCCTTCTCCAGAAGAGCATCTGGCAGATTTGAACCGTACACCTCTGGGATTGCAGTGCAGCTTCTTGCCACTAGGCCACCAAAGCTCCCCAACTGTTTTGCGTTTTTTTTGTCAATGCAAGTACAATAACTAGAATAACCAGAAGTAATGGTAATGTAGAACATGTAAGAGAGGTATTGACATCTTCAATCAGAATTTATAAAGTGAAGATGTTTGTGGAATCATGCATGACCACTAATGTGTTAATTGAATCAAGAGTGTATTGCCCATCACAGGAAAATATAAAGTAAAAATTTGGGATTTTCCATGTTTATATTCTTAGCAAAATTTATCCTGAAGTTACTTCTTGTGTTTTTGTGTGCTGTCATTTTTTATCCTATGTCAGTCTCTGACACCCCAACCCCCATAGTCCCAGGGACTATATCAGTCCATCTCATTTGGGATTTTCCTCTCCTGCGCTGTCCCTCCACCCTTCCAAGTATGATGTCCTCCAAGGACCGGTCCCTCCTGGCCACATGCCCAAAGTATGTGAGATAGAGCTTCAAAATCCTAGCCTGAAAGGAAAAACTTGGTTTCACCCTCTCCAAGACAGAACTGTTTGTTTTCCTGGCAGTCCATAGCATGATTAAGACTCTTCTTCAGCACCACAGCTCAGAGGCATCAGGTTTTTTTGTTCTGACATCCTTAGTCATTATCAAGCTCTCTGATGCCTTCGTCTCTAGTCTGTTGTTTCTCAGTACTCTGGAGAGGTCCCTAACAGCAGATTTTTGTAGTGCAGTTCATCTTTTGAGTTCCTGATTGCTAGTACCAGGAGTGTTGATTGTGAGGATGGCACAGGATAGGACAGGGCTTCAGTGCTGTTGTTCATAGGGTGGCTGTGTGTTGTACTCGACGTGACTGCATCCATCAAAAAGTTAAGTATCATCAAGTTAATCATAGTAATCCTGTGCACAAGACAATAATACATTGTCTAAATCTGTGCTGTCTCTCTAACACTTGCCATATTTGACCCTATTGTTTTGATACTATGTCAACTCTTCACTGAGAACCTTTCACTAACCTACATTCTCAAGTATAATATCCTCTATAGGGACAGATTGCATGTTCAAAGCATATGAAAGACTTTTTTCTCTCCTTACTTATAAGGTACATTTCTGGCCTGTCCTTTCAAGATACATTGTTTGTTCTCCTTCAATAAATGGTTGCCATTTATTGCCGTTATCTTTACCAATATGATTCTTTAAAGACATTGATTTTTTTCCCCTTTAATTTCATTATTGACTATCTGTGTTATATATTCTTATCTGGCAATTTAAAAATATCACTTAGGCCTTAGTATTAAAAGTAGCATCTTTCCTTTTTAACACTTTATAGAAGGCCTTTGGGCATGTTGCAAGGAAGGAACAGTCCCTGGAAACGGACATCATACTTAGAAGAGTAGAGGGACAGTGAAATAGAGGAAGATCTTAGATGAGATGGATTGATTCAGTGACTAGGGTAGTGAGAGTAGGTGTGTCAGAGGCAATGAGGTTGCACAGTATAGAAAAAGTTTCAGGGAGATTGTACTTAGTTAGGATCACTGTGAGTTGCAAGCTTAATATATAATCATAACAAACAAAGGTAGATGTCCATGGTCAAGTCATAGTAAGACTCCCGAGGCATAGTAAGACCCTGTTAAAGTTTATTTCTATGTATTATGCAGTTGTGATTGTTCCCCCAATTCTTACTTTATAACTGAAATACAGCTTTTATACATTCAGCTTTATTTTTGGCTTGTTTTCTAAAAGTCTATATTTTCTTGTTTGTCTTGAAGTCTGGCTACTGAAATTTGTCATAATATCTTAGAAAACAATTTTAAGGCTCTTTCCATGATTAGTAAAATTGAAAGATACTTCTTTTTTTTTGCAGACCAACTGTACAAGAAGGAAGGAAAATTATAATAAAAAACGGCCGGCACCCTGTGATTGATGTGTTGTTGGGAGAACAGTATGTTTGCAACAGTACAGATTTATCAGTAAGTACCATATTGTGGCAGATATACAAGTAAAAGATTATAAATTTGGTCATAAACATTTAAATACTGAATGAATGCTTTTGCTTTTTTATTCTTGTTTAAACTTTGACTTTAAATGAATTAACCTCAGGTTACACTTCCATATGTTATACTTTCACATATGCTATGATTATTTTCCTCATGAGATTGTCTGTAGATAGAAAATGATAAAATAAAGAATTAATTATGATTAGTTATGCTTTGTAGCCCAATAATATGCCCAAGTATATAAACAGGGTTATAATCAGACCATGATTTTATAAATTCCTATTACCATACAATGTTTTATGCTTTACCCTATGTTTTATTGTTTTTAAAAGTCTTGTGAAAGAATTGGAGTGGTAATGAACAGCACTGCCAACACAAAGGTAAATAGTTCAAACCTACCATCTGCTCTGCAGGAAAAGGATGGGCAATCTCCTCCTGTGCAATTTCCTGCCTCTGAAAACCTCTGAAAGGTCAACTGTGGGGCAGTTCCCACTCCACAGTACACAATATTGGCAACAACAACAGCTTATTTCAATGATAAGAAATTTCCTCATATGAACTGGCAGTCTTCTATGGAGCATTATAGTCAAGTTACAATACATAGATTAAATGAGGGTGTGTTATGCCTCAGGAAGCAAACACAGCAGATGGTAGTGAGCAACTCAGACATGCTTCTTACCCTCAAAGAGCATTTGGTTGGTCACAGAAGAAAGACAGACAATCACAGTACAGTTTGGTAAGTGCATTGATCCTGGAGATGAAGGTGTCTGGGAGCCTTTAACCGGTGTTCTAGCTCGATGTAGCAGGAGCATCCAGGACGGTTTTCTAGAAATGTGATACTAACTAAAAAGAAATAGACTTAAGGGCAAAGAGTAGAAGGAAGTATTCTATATAGAGGAAACATGATGTCAGAGGCTCGACATGAAAGACAACCCACTGATGTGTTGTTTCTGACTTAGTGTGGCCTTACATCAGGTTTCCTAGGCTGTAAACCCTGGCGGGAGGAGGCCATCTCTGTATCTCCCACCAAGAAGCTGATGCATTCACATTGCCAACCCTCAAGTTACAGCCCATGACTGCAGAGTATGTCACCAGGGCTCCTGTGACATGAGGCCAAGCACAGTGAAGTCAAGGAACTGAAAGACATTCAGTATAGTTGAAATGTGGAATATAAAGAAAGACATGTTCAGAAATAACGAAGAGGTCAATTACTTAGATACAATCTTAAGAAACTTGGACTTTATTCTATTGGATTGTAAATACTAGCAGTAACATTATTTAAGATGACGAAAATAGTGACCCTTGGGGGTGTGTGTGTGTGTGTGTATGTGATATTGTTGCTGTGTGTTGTTGAGTTGGTTCTGGCTGACCCTCCAGTGGGTTTTTAGGCAATATGTAGCATGGGAAGAGAACTGCCCATCTTTGTCCATCGGAGCATCTGGTGGATTTGAATCACATGCCTTCAGGTTGGCAGTGCAACTCCTTACAACTAGACCAACACTGTGTGTCTGCAAGATCAAAGAATTAATCTATATGGAGTTAGGATGTATCACAGAATGAATTGAAGCATGTGGTAAGAAACTGCACTGCAATCCTGAAGGCATATGGTTCAAATCCTCCTTTATGATAGAAGGATAGGAAATCTCCTCCTGATTAAAAGCCTCTGAAAACTCTCCAGAGGGTTAGATATGGGTCATCATTGAATGAATGCTTGAATTGAAGATTTCAGAGTTGCCATATTCTGAGTGATACCAGCATTGAGGGTAGGGCCATGGAAGTGTGTGGTAGAAATGGAGTAAATATTCTACCAGAAGGACATCAAAAGACAAGAGTTTTGGAAAGAGCAGTTATGTGCATGTTGAAATCATCTGAGACAATAGCAGCATTTGTGGTGGAAATGACAGTGATCCAAATACCAGAGACTGTAAATAATACTGGAGAGATCCTTCGAGCCAAAGAATTTATGAGGGAGAGTGTGGCTGAGATTTGACCTCTGGAGGAGAGGGCTAGAAGAGACGTGGCAAACTGACAGGCTTCAGTGGAAGCCATTGTGTGGAGGAAATGTCAGGCAAAGAAGCTGGAAGTAGAAGTGTTGAGAATTTTTCTGAGGAAAGTAGAAGGGATTGAGTTGTAGAGGTGAAATTGGAGACTAGTTGAGAGAAAAGAAGCTCTGAATCTCAAGGGAGTTGGGACAATAACAGAGTTCCATCTTGAGTCTAGGCCAAGGATGGCAGAGATACATGGCATGGTGCTTTCGACTGGCTTCGAGGATGGTGGGTGAATGTAGATAATTTTGGTTACCTCTAGTAAGTGTTGGAGGATTAATCCACAGCCCTCATGCCTGTTTTTAATTGTTTTTGGTCAAACCTTCTAGGTTGTATAGCCCTGTATAAGTTGTATAACCACTTGTGGTACAGAGGTAACTCATGGTTGCCATGAAGCTGAACACTGTGACACTGACGTATCAGATGTGATAATGGTTACCCATGGTGGAAAGTGTTTGGTGGAACTCCCCACTTAAAACAAGCTTGGAAGCAAGAGTGGCATCCACTTTGTAATAGCTTGCCTCCAGAAACCCTATGAACCTGGAGAAAGGATGAAAGTCATGCAAGTGTTGAAGACTTTAGTTCATAGGGTTGCTATGAGTCGCCTACAACTTGACAGCACTTAACAACAACAATAAGTGTCAGAGAGCTCTGTTGGTGTAGTTCTTAGGAAATTGCAGTTAACCCAAAGGCAGTGCCTCTGTGGTTGTTTGAAATCACCAGCAGCTCTGTGGGAGAAGAATGGGACAGTCTCTTCCAATGTGATTTACAGCCTCAGAAACACAGTGAAGTGTCACCTGTCAGTCAGTTCCAACTGTACAACTATGAATTTGAGTTTTTATAAAAATGAGAAGGAATTAGATACCAGGTTATTTAATACCAACCACTCTTTATTTTTAGAGTAACTTCTGACATCCATTTCCGTTTTTTCTATCTCCTCTGCTTTTGTAATGACTGTTTTTTTCATGGATGATATCCTTGATATCATCCTACAACTTCATCTGGTCTTTAATAATTAATGTTCAGTGTCTTGAACCTTTTCCTAAGATGATCTTGATATTCAGATGGAATTGATTCAAGATCATTTCTTGGTTCCTGTGGACTTATTTTCATTTTCTTTAACCTCAGTTTGAACTTGCAATTGAGTAATTGATGATCTGACCCAGAGTCCATTCCTGGCCTACTTTTGACTGCCAATATTGAGCTTCTCCTGTGATTTCTTCCTCAAATATAGTAGATCTGATTCCTATGTAGCCTATCATATGAGATCCATAAAGTATCATTTGTGTCTTTTTAAAAAAGGTATTTCCAATAAATAAATCATTGTAAACACAAAATTCATCCTTATTAGATCTGAAATAATTGAGCCCAGTGCTGCAGGCATCTATCAGTCCAGCTCTTTGAGGGTTGTTTTCTCTTTTGTTGCCCCTTCATCTTTCTAAGCATAATGTCCCTTTCCAAGAAATAGCCCCTCCTAACAACACGCTCAATTTCTTCTCTATCCATCATGATGTGGCCAGCTGGCCAAGTGGTGAGAATCTGTCTTCTTGATGTGGAGCTTCAATCCACATTTAAGGCTGCAGTCCTTGACCTGCTGCAGCAAGTGCTCCAGATCCTCCTCACTTTCAGCGAGCAGGGTTGTGTCAGTCATCTTTATAATCCAAGTTGTTGATGACTCTCCTCCAATCCTGATGCCACGTTCCTTCTCTTAAAGCCCAGCCTTCTGAATCATCTGTTCTGCATATCGGTTGAAAAGATAGGTAGACAGGACACATCCCTGATGCACTCCCTTCCTGATTTTGAACCATGCAGTGTTTACCTGCTCTTTTCTGAGGACTGCTTCCTGCTCCAAATATAGGTTTCACATAAGCACAATCAGGCATTCTGGGATCCCCATTCTCCTCAAGGTTAGCCACAATTTGTGATCCACACAGTTAAGTGCCTTTGCATAGTCAATGAAACACAGATAGACATCCCTCTGGTACTCTTTGCTTTCTGCCAAGATCCATCTGACATTGACTGTGATGTCTCTAGTGCCACAGCGTCTTCTAAACCCAGCTTATATTTCTAGTAGTTCTCTGTCAATGTATTGTTCCAGTTGTTTCTGGATAATATGCAGCAGGATTTTGCTTATGTGTGATATGAGTGACATTGTTTGGTAATTTCCACACTCTTGTCAGATCATGTTTTTTTTTGGAATGGAAATAAATATGAATCTTGTCCAGTCAGTTGGCCAGGTGGTTATCCTCCAGATTTCTAAGCACCATCTGGTGAACACAGTATTCCATCAATTCCTGGGGCTTTATTTTTTTTTGCCAAGTCCTTCAGAGCAGCCTGCACTTCCTCCTTCAGCACCATTGCCTCTCGATCATAGGTTGTTTCTTGAAATTATTCTATGTCAGCCAATTCTTTTTGGTACAGTGACTCTGTATACTCTTTTCATCTTCTTCTAATGCTTCCTGGATCATTCAGTATTCTGCCCATAGCATCCTCAAGCGTTGTATCTCATGGCTTGAATTTGTTCTTTAGTTCCTTCAGCTTAAGAAATGTCCAGCAGTTCGGCCCTTCTGATTTTCAGACTGCATGTCTTTGTACATTTCATTATAATACTTCACTTTGTCTTCTCGTGCTGCCCTTTGAAATCTTCTGTTCAGCTCCTTAACTTCTTGATTTCTTCACTTTCTTTGGCTTCTCAGCTCTCTAGGGCAATATTCAGAGTCTCTTCTGACATCCATTTTGGTCTTTTCTTCTCCCTCTGTCTTTGTAATGACCTTTTGCATTCTTCATGGATGATATTCTTGATACCCTCCCACAGTTCATCTTACCTTTGTTCATTAGTATTAAGGGCCTCAAACCTGTTCCTGAGTTATTTTTTAAATTCAGATGAGACAGATTCAAGGTCAAGTTTTTATTCCTGTGGATTTGATT